TTTAGAACAAAATGTATTAGAAAGGGCTCCACACTACTGGTTCTATTTTTAAGCCTTTGTTGCTTTCTCAAATTCTCTGCATCCATTTCTTCCCCTGAGGACTTCCACTCTTCAGCTGAATAATTCTTTGTAAACCTTTGTAACAATATTTGCCGTGATTCTCAATTTATGCTAAACTAAACCCTAATCTAAAATTAGTGCCATATTTTTTCCTCCAAGTTCTTATTTGTTTTTAATTTTATCTGCCTTTTGTACCAGGCTAGTTGTTCCTTTATGATGTCACCTCCACACTGTCGTCCACAGAGTAGAAAATTCACCCAATGTTCCAGTTTGCGCTTTTGGCAAATCCAGGCTGAGCCTTGTAGATCTGGGGAAACTGACACCTTCTCTTTAGGATGCACTGAGCAAACAAGCATCTGCTTAGTTCTGAGTGCCTTCTGCGGTCTCCAACGTGTCTTCAATAACACTAAGTATTTTTCTTATAACTGCCGATTTTGATTATTTTGTGGTTTCAATTACCTCATAAAAACATAAATAGAACCTCCCCAGTGTCTACCATAGTGTTCCGTATTTAGTGAGTATGCCTAAAAGATGTGTGAGACCATAGAGTTGTGACTTGTGCCTTATTGCTTCAATGCAGATGTGTAAAAATGAAACTAAAAAGTCGAAAAAGATTACAACAATATTGCAATAATAAGAGTAGAACAAAACAGAATTCGAACTGATTTTCAAATGTGCTTTTTTAAGTATCATTAATTGAGGTTTGTTTTTTTTTTTTTTCCTTTTGGTAGGATAGCATTCCCACTTCAGTGGGTATCTTGGTCGTTCTGTGAAATCATTCCCTTACTCTTGATGCTGTACAGGTGGATTGGCCATCCTGGGCTTCTTTTCTGTTTGCAGTGTCTTTAGAATCTCTCCCGCCTCAGAAATTAAATTATAAATGTCATCACTCAATCTTGTGGTACCTTGCAATAACAAACTATATTTTCTTCAAAGAAGAGAAAGAAATGAAATGGGAAAATGATAGATATTTTCATTTCATCATCAGCCTGTTTTTTCCACATTGCTATGAAATAAGCAATAGCCTGACCAATGTGGTGGTACACAGCTATGATCCCTGCTCTTGGGAGGCTAAGAAAGGAAACATTTGAGGTGCGGATCATTCTCAGCTGTGTAGAGATTTTCAATCTTAAAAAAAAAAAAAGATGATTATGATGTTAAATAAACTTCTATTTTTCTCCTGATTGTTGAAATAACAAACTGTGCTTAGTCTCCTCTTAACTGATCTGCAGTGTTTATTATTTTTAGCATTCCATGATTGCTTGATATTGACTTCTGCACTACTGTAAGTTTATTCTCCCTGTGTTCCAATGCTTCTTTCTGTCAGTCCTGCTTCTAAGGTCTCTACTACTACTTCCTAGTAACCTCCTATTGGCCTTCTTGTTCTCCAGGCCCTGTGGCTGATACTCCCTGGCTTCTCTCCTTGCTAGTCCATTTTGTTTTCTAGATTTATGGCTTAATCTTTCCTCCCTTGGTGATCTGATTTGCTCATATCAATTTTTAATTTTTATTCACATAACCTAGACGATTTAGTCATGTTCATGCTACTGATTACTACATATATATTTAGCCCAAAAGTTTTAGCCTGAACCCACATTCTTCAGATATTCACACAATTTCAAATACATTTCACCTTGCAGACCCTTAAACTCAGGCTGAATTCGTCACCCTTTAATTCTTCCTGTAATTTTTTTTGCAGGTCATGACAGCACCTCCCACACCACATCTGGCAATACTCAATCAACCTTTGACTGACTTCTTTTTCCTAGTTCCTCACAGGCAACCAAAATCATTCCTTGAAGCTCCTCCCCTCAATGTCTGTCCAATTGCCCTCTCCCCCTCCTTCCTACTTTTCTTCCTTAGTTGAGGATTCTTACCTCTACCTGGAGTACTGATAAAATAGACTTTGCTTCATCCAGGTCCACGAATTCTCCTTTAGTCCCTCCTCAACATAGCCTACAGATACTTCTAAGAACACATCATTTGTCTTTCTGTCTCTTTCTCTCCCCCACTGATTTCATTTTAACTACAGAACAGAACTAAGACACTTCTGATGGCCTAAAAGACCCTTCTTGGCTCTCCAGATCTGCTCCCTATAGCCACCCCTCAGCCCTGCAACTCAGTTATACTTATGACACACAGTTCTCTGAAAACAAAGCATTCATTAAAGTCCTCCTCATTTTTGTTTCATAAGTCTCTCTCTGTAGAGCATCCTCAAGTCTGAACACTCCCACTCCTGGTTCTTTATACTACAGAAAATCCTAAGATCAACTCAATGCAACAACCACTCTCTCTAGATCTTTCTGGGTCTCTTTTAGCCCCCTAGACATAAATGATCAGGCTTTCATGTGTCTCTGCACACACTCCAAGATGGTATGTTATATATAAAGCTGAGCTGAGAACCAGCTTCCCTCATCGCTCATAGCTGAGCATCTATCATATTATGCACTGTGTGGCTGGCCTTTGCTAACCTGACTGAACTTGTGGAAATTGTGTGAATAATTATTTCTTTTTGACTTTCTGTCTTCTTAACTGTTTGGTATTTTTAGACAAGCATGACTATTATATGAATAACATTAAAATCTCAAAATTACCTAAGTGTTTATTCCTATTAGTTCAAATGAAACAGTTTAAAAATAAAATGCCTACTCATATTCTGCCACAGCATTATATTGAATCTGAAATTGCCAGAAAAAAAAGAAATATGATTTCTACTGCTGTTTCTATAGCAGAGGTGTATCAAATATGTTTTCTTAAGAAAGTTTCTGTGGCATTCCTCTAAATATTTGCCTATCGCAAGATGAAATCAACATATCACACAGGGAGCCTCTTCCAGATGTTTGACTCTGAGTCATTTCCTTGTAACCTTCTCTCCCACTGTTCCAATTTCTGCTTCTTTCAAAGAGGCTGCCAAATGTTGTACCCAGTGTTTCATCTTGCCCCACCTCTGTCTCCACCCTTTAATCTTGAGGTACTGATTTGTACACACTGTTCCTGCTTAAGCAGGTCATTAGTCCATCTCTAGGCTAAGGTGAAAAACAAAATCTCAAATGGTCCTCTTGAGACCACGGCCCTGTGAACTAATTGTTCATGAGACAGTTTGGAGGAAGGCCTTTCCAGCCCTGCCTGAAGCGTCACCCTCCCTCCTGTAACCATTTAGCTCCAGGTCAAGGAAGCTGGAAATCCCCAATATCCTTTAAGCAGCTCTTTGTGTAGTTTAGGAGGAAACCAAGAAACCATACCAGTAGGCATCAGGAGAACAATCATTTATAAAAAGGATTATTTTTTATGTACATTTGTATGGAATGACTTTATGAAGGAAAAGGAGGGACCCTGAAAGTTATTTGATAAAAGAGAGAGCAGTACAAAAATGTGTCCTGATTTACAGAAGTAAAGAAATCCTGGATCTGGTCACAAGGAAAAATAAACGTCTTGAAGACACAGCCAGGAATTAGGTCCCACTGATGGAAAGTGACGCAAAAGTGTTAAACAGAACCCTCCAGGAATTTGCAAAGGATGGAATATTGAAGGAAACGTTTTTACAGTGTCTGTCTTGGTCATTCTTTATATTCTTGTTCGCCTCATAAAGTTGTGTTACATCTGTTCACTGTTAGCTGAAGTTAATATGAGCAGATGTGCATAAGGTACTTAAAGTAATCCTGGACACGACGTATGCATTAAAATCCACCTCCCATCATTGATTTCTTAATAGCAATGAAACCAAAGCCCCAAGAGACTAAGATCACACAGTGGTAAGTGGCTTACTTGGTATCAGAACCTGAATGTGCAGCTTGCTATCCATTTGTACTACAGAGTGGGGTGTTTGCTCTAGAACAAAGTCATGTGTCTGCAGTAGACCAACCAGAAAAGGCCCCCAAGTCCTTGTGTGAATTATAAAAATGATGGGAAAAGGAAAAATGTTACTCTGTCATAAGGCAAATAACAGTAAAGAAAATAGCAAGACATAAACTAAATCAAATGTCTTCTAAATATGATTCAATCATGTCAGTATTCTAAGCTCAACAGAGTAAAGGGCGCAGAATATGGTGATGCACGCTTATAATCCAGCTATTGGGGAAACAGAGATAAGAAGGTTGCCAGTTTGACGTCAGTGGGTGATATAGGGAGATACTGCTGTCTCACACTGATTAGAGGGAGTCCACAGTGTTGCTCAGGGTTATTCTGTGGCCTTTCATGAGGAAGGCTCTATGATCGAAAAGAAAGGGCTGGGTTGGGGGCAGGTGCGAGAAATTTGATGCAAATGAATCTGAGCTCCCTATTTAGGTTACCAAATCATTGAATTTCAGACCTAAGAGGACACATTAAGAAGAATTTACTTCTGTTGCCCATGATATCACAAAGGATATAACCAATACCTGAAGCTAACATGACTCCTCCAAAGTCTTGCAGATTCAAGATGTAGAAATTCTAACAGATACCCACGTTAATTAACCTGCTTGGAAATTTCTCACTTAAAGTCAAGAGTTAAAAACTCACCACTCCTGCCACCATCCCCCCCCCCCTTAAAATGTTCATTTTGATTAACCCAAATTTCCAAATCACATCACAGGTGACAATCCGCATGGACAACAACAACCGGCCTGATTTGGCCTTTGCGAGAAAAGAAAAGGAAACAGATGTTTCTTTAAGGTATAATCTCATCTTTCCCTGCTATACCTAATTGTAAAATCCATATGCCTCCTTGCAAACTGCTAAACCAGCAATAGCATGTTAGAGAATCAGACCCGTGTGTGTATTCACATTTTCAAATGTTACATACGTGCACACAAGTCGTGGGAAGTGCAGATCACCCTCACTATAAGTCATGGGAAGATTCCCTCCCTTCCCTCTGCTTTGCACATGCCTAGGAAAAGGGCCTCAGTTCAAGAATTTCTTCAGGGCACTGGTCTGCTTGAACTCTAGAAGACACGAGTAAGTACCTGAATGCCTCGGATCTGCACGTCTGGTGACAGTGGAAGCTCCAGAATACAGGCTTATGCTGGTGTCATCATCATCGAGCATATCCCTCGTGCTGCTGTATTTGGCCTGCATCCTGATTCCTGCAGAGCTGCGGGGGCGATGTGTTCAGATTGCTCCAGGCTGTGTGTCTAACTTCAGATACCTCAGGAAACCAGTTACTGAGAGGCATTCCTAATGGACTCTCTCCCTGCAAGCAGCAGGGGAAGCCTCTGACTCCAGTTCCTGCGTGGAGAAGCCCAGCCCCTCCCCTGTGAGCTTGTACTCAGAATGCCAAGTTGGTCTGGCTGAGGGGAAATCGCTGTGTTTTCTGGCTGGGCGGTCCCTGAACAGTTATTATAATAGCTGCATTTTTTTCAGACCGCGTGTGTATCTGTTTACAAGTCTTTCAATTGCAAGCTGCGGATGACGAGCCCTCACCGTAGCACTCTGGATCCTCTGACACTAAAGCATAATCAGAGATGGACACAGCTTCTTACCCAGCATGCATCGCAGGCTGATTATTCACCTGTACCTTTAGGGAAGGAGAGGACACCCCTGCCTGTCTCCAAAGGCAGAGTGCAAAGCATCATTCACTGGAAGCCCGAGCAGCAGACCCCCTGAGAGCATCCAATCGATTCAATTCTTTCATTTAACTCAGAAAGAAATTGAAAGCTATCTAGGTGAATTATCTCTTTAGAAGTCACAAAGCTGGTTAGGGTCAGACTGGTTCTGAAAGTTCTCTCCTGTTGTCAACTACAGGCTCTTTCTTCTGACAGTATCTGGACTTGATTTACCGTTTTCTGACACAGCAGGATCATTGTGATGGTGAGCAATGCCATGCGCTGTTAGCAGCCCCCACTCACATCACTGTTACTAGCCACTGTGCAACTTTGGGAAGACAACTAGCAATGTGTGCCTACATCTGTTAAGTCAAAACAACAAATGAGAGAATTGTCTCAGTGTCCAACAACTCCAACTCCTCCTGAATCAGTACAATTGAATTCTTTTTTTTTTTTTTTGGTGTGGCAGCAACAAAATACCTAAGACCATATAATTCATACACAATGAAAAAAATTATTTCTCATAGTTCTGATTCGAGATCAAGGTGCTAACAAGTTCAGTAGTGAGATGAGGGATGCATCCTCTAAGTACTATACTGAGGCTGCCATATGGCAGAAGGAGTGATGTCACACAAGCAAACGTTGTGTGTGTGTGTGTGTGTGTGTGTGTGTGTGTTAATGTCTAAAACAAGCACACTAAGTATCAGCTAGTGTTGAAACAGAGTTAAGGCAGCCAGAGCCTATAAGAGACCACCAGAAACTATAGATTGTGAATTAGCACGTGTTTCAAGCTGTATGTTGTTTGTCCTATTTTTATATATTTAAGAAGAGTAATAACGGGAACCCTTTATTGAATGACTTGTGTCTGTTTGTTTGCATTGGGTTGAGTATTGGAATGCTGTGGAAGGAAGGAGGCAGTAAGAAGAATTCTGAAGGTCAAGTCATGTGCACTGCAGAGGACTTGAAGTATTAAGAAGCTAGAATGTTAAAAAAAAAAATTACAGAGCAGTTGTGGTAGTACACATCTGTAACCCTAGAATTCACTGGGCTGAGCAACAGGTCACAAGTTCAAAGTCAGCCTGGACTTATAGAAAGACTCTGTAAAAGGTAGAAACAAGAAGAGAAAGAACGAAAGGAAGGAAGAAAGAAAAAGAATAAAAGGAGGGAAGGAGGGAAGGAAGCAAAGAGGCTGGAAGGAAGGAAGGGAAGAAGGATGGAAGGAGAAGGGAGGGGTGAAAAATAAGGGAATGGAAAGTAGGCAGAGTGAGGGGAGTGTGAGAGGAGAGAAATTAAAAATGGAGCAGGAAAATAAGAGGGATTTCCACTAATAATGTTTCTCATGAAACATTGCAACAGTAACCAGAACTGTTTACCAAGTTACCGTTATTCAAGTAGATTCTTGCTAATTTTTGACCACATATATTGAAATTTGTACTGTGTTCCTGAAACATTTATTTCAGGATCAATGAAAATATTTTTAAGCATGCTATGCTGTAGGTACAGGGTCTTTTGGATTTAAAACCCACTGGCTCTTTTAAAGCTTGTATCCTATGGAGAAAATGTGACTGCTGTCAATGTTGAGGCAAATATATAAAGGACCAAGGAACTCGAGGAAGGTAATGGAAGAAGGCTGGTGAGGATGCCTCATCCACTTAAGAGGTGATATGCGTGCAGGACTTGGGAAATAAGACAGAAGGCTTGCAGCCATCTCAGTGGGGTTCACTCAAAGAGCAAACAGAAATCACAGAGATTTTGAGATGGAAACTTGCAGATAGGGCCGAGACACCACAGAGAAGCCAGCATCCTGACTGGAGAAGTAGATAGACCAGAGGTTGAGACTTAGAGCACATGAGGTCTTAAAGACAATTTAAAAAGTTTCTTTTTGCTATTATATTTTGTTATTATTCTGAAACATGTTAAGAAATCAATGAGAGGTTTTAGTAGAGACCTGACATGACTGTATTAGACTTAAAAAAAAAAAACAAAAACCAAAAAACTTTCTATGCCTTCTTTGTAGATTTCACGTCATCCATCCGGATCCTATTTATCTCCCCATCCCTTCATATCCATCCTCTGCCCTTGCAACCTCCCTCCCCACCCCCAAATCAAATAAATTTTAAGGCAAAAAAAAAAAACCCAAAACCAAACAAACAAATAAAAGTCTCATTGTGGAAGCTGTACTGTGACATAGTGAATCATACATACAGTATACCCTTTGGTCCATACAGCTTTACTTGTAAGAGTTCTTTGCAATGAGTCATTGGTCTGCAGGTCCAGCCACTTCATATGCTCCAGCAGTTCATAGATGGAGGTGGATATTGGGGTGGATCAGCTCATAGTTCTGGTTCTAGGCCTTGGCTGGTAGCTGCATTTGTCGGTCTGCCAGCTTTCCCTCATTGTCACCACCAGTGTGAGCTCCCAGCGCTGCACTGGCTAGCCCATCCACTGTAGCAGTTTAACAAACCTACCCTGATAATCTTGAAACACACTGTAGGGAGATAGAGCTAAAGATTAGGAACAACTCCTTAAGGCAAGGAAATACAGGACTCCCCCTGTAGATGTTTCCTTAAATTTAACCATCTGGAATTCATCCTTCAGACTTGAGTTCAGCCAGCAGTTGCTGTCATAAATCTGTTCCTTAGACAAATACATGCATTTCTGTTCATATTTACATCGATATGTAAGTTCTCATGCAAACAGACTGTCAGCATGGTAGGTAAGAGTATACCCTGGACCACCTTGAGCAATTTCCTTTCTACCATAGCTCTGGTTCTACTTGATCCTTTATCTACACACTGGGGGATTTCTCAGCTGCCTGTTCCTAGTAAGGAAATCTTGATTTCAGCATCCAGACTTAGGTGTTTTGTTTTGATTTTTTTATGATGACAGTTTCTTGAACTTATATGCCCAATTCCAGGGGCCCAGAAAAAACAATAATCAAATCAAAACTAAAATTAAAAAAATTTCACATTAGACTGGGAATGTGGCTCAGTAGATGATGTTGTATAAGTATGGAGAATTCAAACAGAAACCATTTACAATGACCCACATCTGCAGTGCCAGAGCTGGGTGAGATGGAGAAACAGGTGAATCTGGGAACTGGTTGGCCAGCCAGCATGAGACAGTAAAACCATGTTTCAACAAAGAAGATGGTGGAGAGTGATAGTGGGTGACAGTGATGGTCTCTAAGTGTGCACAGGTGAGCATACACACATATACACATACATATGAGTTCATGTGTACATATACACAATGTTCAAATCTTCTCTAAATCCCATCTTGTGCTTTAACTAACTACTTGAGCCAATTAATCACACTTCCCTCAGACTTACCTCTGTTCCTTCTCAGATTTATCTCTCTCCCTTCTACAGTATTTTCAGACTTTGAGAATTCAAATTTGAATGTTAAAAGATGAGTGCAAACTTCACAAAAATGTGTTTTCCTCAGATTTTTCAAAATCTTCAAGAATCCAAATGTAATGCTTTAATGTAGAAATATCTTGTATACATACTCCCTACCTAGTATCAAACTAATTAACCCTTTTGGGGAGAAGGCAAATTATGCTAGTGATTGCTACACGTAGGCAGGTTACTCAGAGCCCAGATATACTTGAATAAACAGTTTTGCAATCTAGATGAAAGTTACATAAAATCAATCATTTTCAAGTGGACAATTCAGTGAACCTAGCACAATTTCTGCCCACATATGAATCAGCCCGAGGAAACTACAAATGGGTTCCCAGCACAAGAACTTGGAAATCCCCACTGGAAATCTGAGCAGTGTTAATGGGGATGCTTAGAAGCTATCAAGACAGATCACACCAGGAAACACACTCACATTCCAATCATCCTTTTGAAAGGAAATGACTAAAGAATCAGTTGTTAACTGCAAAATAGTATGTCATGAAAAAGACAAAATATGTTTTGTGCTTCAAGACACTAATCTTGATTGCATGAGTTTTAAATATCCACTATCAGATACAATTTATCTTTCAAAATATAATATTTAAGGAGAATGCTTCCTGTAAGTGCAGCCCCTCTATGATATCATGTTGCACCAGGTTCTGCTATCAGAGATACGGTGGCCAGTCTCTCTGGGGTTATCGAGTCAAGGGAGAAGTCAGAGTCTCTATTTTAGGGTGATGATCACTTTAATCATAATAAAGTGGATGAAAATAACAGCTCTGTTTATAGTGAAGATTTTCTTCCCTCATTTCTTTATCACTTTAGAAGTATATTTTACCTTCTACCCATGTCTGATGTACTGATAGACTTTGAGAAAACCATACAAACACAGTGAACACTCTAGTAACAATTTTGAGTCACATATGTGTGTATACATGTAGGTATATAGCCTACTAGTCCATGTAGTGTTGCTGGTTTGTACATGTGTTTAGTGTTGACTTCTTGGGAGTCAGTATCTCATCAGGAAGCTTGTTCTTGGAAAGAGCTCTTCCCCCCTTTTCTACATCATTAATCACCTCTAGTTCTTTTATATGGACGATGGTACCTTGTAACATTTCTTTTTTTTTATTTTTTTATTTATTTTATTTATTTTTTTTAATTTATTTATTTATTAAGGATTTCTGCCTCCTCCCCGCAACTGCTTCCCATTTCCCTCCCCCTCCCCCGATCAAGTCCCCTCCCTCATCTGCTCAAAGAGCAATCAGGGTTCCCTGACCTGTGGGAAGCCCAAGGACTGCCCACCTCTATCCAGGTCTCGTAAGGTGAGCATCCAAACTGCCTAGGCTCCCTGTTGGCATATCAACTAAAGTTATCATCACACAGGTCATGTTTAACAGATCATATTGTTGATATTTCATGACTATAACTTCCAAGTCCTGTGTAGAAAACACTAGCAGCAGGCATCCTTGTCCTCTGGCTGTTACAGTCTTCCGCTCCTCCTCCACTGCAATCCTTGACAGATATAGGGGCTTTGTTGTGATTGTTCCATTTGGGTCTAGGAACCTCATGTTCTGTATTTCTTAGCTTCCTCACTCCACGTCTTGTGGCTTACTAACTAGAAGATAATACTATTCTCTTTATGTAGCTGGCAAGTACAGAAGCCTCAGCTTCTTCACCCAAGTTCTCAGCTGAAGGCAAAATTTACTAAGATCTCATAGTATTTCATCATTCACTCTGATTTTCAATATTTGTCTCTCTTGTTCTGTTGTGGTTGGTGGTGGTGGTGGTCGTGGTGGTGGTGGTCAAAGTGTGTGTGTGTGTGTGTGTGTGTGTGTGTGTGTGTGTGTGTGCCATCCTTCCATTCTCACATTCTTAGCTCTTCTTCATCTCCATTCTTACATTTATAGTTGCTTCTCACAGATACTGAATGTGGAAATATTACAGATTTGGTTGAAGACCTCTGACCCATGAATCCATACGCAGTTGTGCAGTAAGCTTTCCTTGGAAGCTGTATCTCTGACTTGAAACCTGTTAAAAGAAAATATAATGAGGCGCTTAAAACAATCAGAGACCCAGAAAAACCTTTAATGGAGTCAGAAAGTTTAAGGACATTGCTAAAAACACTTCTGAGGCATCTAAATTCTTAGAAAGGGAAACTTTAATTTAGATTGTATTTATATTCAAATGGCAATTTACTTGTCTCTATATTTAAGGTAAGAAAATGATTTTACCCTAAGGAATGCTACTCTTAATAGGTGCTTAAAATAAAGAGCCATGCCAATTAGTCACACTCAAGGAACATCATTGGGCCGTAGTGGAAAAGTCACCACCTCATGCCCTTTCCCTTTGCTGGCTGCTTCTTCTAGACCCTGGGGTTAGTAGACTGAGAAATTCTGCTCTGCAAACGATGGAGGCTAAGATCCACCACCTTGACTCAGACCTCAGGGAGAATTTTAATCAGGATTTTCTGAAAAATTCCCTGACATTCAGGTAGTTTTGGAGCACAGATTAAGTCACTGCCATGCTAGAATCTAAGAAGTAGTAGCATTTTAAAATGTTAAGCCCATTTTGTGAATTTGCAGAGAATCATCTAATTCCATGCTTGTAGTGGAAAACAAATCAAGATGAATAAAGACTTCAGACGAGAAAGAAGCACGTTCTGTGGATTGTTCATGAATCTCTTTGGCGTGGATCAGTATAAGTGAGGTAGCTAAGGACTGTTGATGTGACACCAGGGGTGGGGAATGGGCTTTGCATTCTCACCATTCCCTACAGGAGGCAAATTAAATGCTACTTTGTGAAATTCAGATTGATACAGAAAACCCTAAAGAGCTCAACATGCAATGTTAATAAATACTTGTCAAACACAATTAGGTATTTAAGAAAAAAAACCAACGTGAATGAAGCACAGGAAAAAAATAAAATGCACACAGAGTTAGCAGGTACAGATCTTAAAATAACTATGCTAAGTGGATTCTTGGAGGAAATAATTAGTATACTGAGATTATTCTAAGCAAAATAGGAGTTACTAATTAGTGGCAGGAATTGAGTTGCAAAAGAACAGAGCTATATTATAGACAACAAAATTTAAAATAAATCACATGTCAAGTAAACTGGAAATAAACACAAAGGTCAAAACAAAACTCAATATCATAAGAAGCAATGAAAACAGATGGGGGAGGGAGGAAGGAAAAGAGGGAGGGAGGAAGGAAGAAAGGAAGAGAATGGCGGTGATAGCTAATAGGAAGATACAACAATTTTAAGTCTACATATGCCTCTTAATATGGCTTCAAAATGTCAAGTGAAGTTCTCAAAGAAATATAGGAGGACCCATGTGGGTATTCCTAATACAAATCTCTGCATTGGAAGAGGGAATTTTCAACACGTGAAATATGCTCTCTGATCACAAAGGAACTAAGTATGAAGTCTAAAGGACAAGTAAGAATGTTAGAAGCACAGGTATATTTGTAAATTGAAGAATTTATTTCTAAGTAACTCATTGATCAAAGAACAATTTACAATGGAAACAGAAAGCATTTTGAATCGAATGACCACAACAATGAAAGACTGGAGATAATGAGCATCCAATATAAGAAGTTAGAGAGAGAATTCAATTTGGTACAAAGAAATTAGATGGAAGGTGATAAAAAAAATATGAGGACTGATATTAACCAAAGAAGTGATAAAAAATAAAGAAAAGGGAGCATTAGTAAATCAAAATATCTTTTAAAAATTAAATTGAATTTAATTAAGGGAGTTACTCTTTCTATCCTCAATTTTGGATAAAGAAAGTGGCACTCAAAGAAGTATGGAGATTTGTCTAATGTCACATGTCCGGTGAGTAGGTTAGTCTTTACCTCAGAGTGAGGTTTGACCTCAAAGCCCATGCATGTTCTTAATCAAGGGTGCAGTGAACAGCAGCACTGCTCCTCACCTGGACCTGAATCAGCAGCATTAGGTGACCATTCTCTACATCCTTCCTCCACCTTTTTCTTTCCATTCCCAGCTCCGTTTCTCCCTCCCCCTCCACCATAACTTGTCTTTTTTTCTCATGTATGACCAGAGGAGCAGGTTCTTCATTGCATGGCAAACTTCCATGTGTGCCTACACAGAAACTTACGAGTTGGGAATGAATGGTGAGCCATCCTCCCAGAACCAAGGTCCTTCAGTCTGGTTACGGGAAAGGCCAATCCAAAATGAATGAATATGGTGAGAAGATGTTTGGCTTTCAATGAACTCCTGTAGTGAAACAAAAATACATACACACACATCAGGAGGAACCCAAGACAATGCTATAGGCATTTAGAGACAAATAAGTCCCTTTAAAAAGGGATGTAATGTAAGATGACAATCGAGAGAGGACTGTCAATCTTTGTATATCGTTGAATGTCCAGAGAGATGTACTTCCTCATTTTAAAGCCATTGTCAATCTTCCCATCAAGAGTAAAATCATAATATTCCTAAAGAATGTGGGCTAAGGAATTGTTCAGTGGGAAAGAGTGTTTGCTGAAAACACACAAGGACCTGGCTTTAAGTTCTCAATATTCATGTTAAAAACCAGATGTATTCATGCATGCCTTAGCCCTTGTACTATTGGGGGTGAGGACAGGAGAATCCTGAGGCTAGCTGGTGAAGGAACAGCATCTGCTTTCCCACCACCCGGGTCCCGCACGGCTAGCTTTACCCAAAATAATTACACGGAAACTGTATTCTTTTCAACACTGCTTGCCCCATTAGTTCCAGCCTCTTATTGGCTAATTCTCACATCTTGATTAACCCATTTCTAATAATCTGTGTAGTACCATGAAGTGGTGGGTTACCGGGAAGATTCTAACCTGCATCCATCTCAGAGAGGAGAGCTATGGTGTCTGCCTCACTTCCCTTCTTCTCAGCATTCTGTTCTGTCTTCCCTGCCTACCTATGTTCTAACTTATCAGGCCAAGCAGTTTTTTTTTATTAATTAGCCAATGAAAGTAACACATAGACAGAAGATCCACCTACATCAAGCTGGTTGTGAGCTTAGCTCTATAGGTTCAGTACACACATGCACACATATATACACACAACACACATATGTGCACACACATACACATAATGCACACATACACATACATCACACACATTTGCACACACATGTGCACATGCATATAAGTTCTTTTATAAACCAATTGGGGAAAAAACAGGCTTATTATATCCATATTCCACCCCATTCAACAAACCTCCCAACATCGAATGAAGTCCAGCTCCCTGGAAGTTTCATGGGAAATAGGCCATTAGTTTTTGTGCAAGTTGCAAATATAAATTCATACTAGCTTTGCCAAGAAACACAGTGCTGGGAGTAAGACCCACAGCCTGGAAATTGCCACGTAAGCACTCTACCACAGATCGCATCCCCAGCACTGCACTGCATGTTTTATGAATAAATAATTCAGATTTCATTGAAGGCTTGAATTGGTCACAGAGATGAGATGATTCTTTGCCAATTACAGATTTGTATTAGAGGCCACATGGATTTCTACTATGATTCTCTTCCTTGGCGATATTCCTGCTGTTGTTAACTTTAGCAAGAACTGCAGCTATTGGGTATAGCATTATAGACTGATAAAAATGGAGTGGTGGAGATAGAGTGTACAGAGGGACTATGTTGCAGGATGCTTTCCATTGTTCCCTTCTCACAGATATTCTGAATCAAAGTCTTCTGGATGGTAAATATGATTCTGCAACATGCAAGGTACATCCTTCTGTTTCTACAATACACATGTAAATCATCCCATTTCTATCTACAACATGCATTGTACATCTTCTTGATTTTACAACATGTATGGCATGTTTTCCTGTTTCTACAACATGTGTGGTTTGTCTCCTGTTTCTACAACATGCATGATAAGTCCTCCTATTTCTACGACATGCATGGTAAGTCTTCCTGTTTCTACAACATGCATGATAAGTCCTTCTGATTCTACACAATTTCTTGTTAACAGGACAACCTCTCAGCTCTCAGGTTATTTGTTATTACTACATGATGTTTAACTATTAACAACTATTGTTTCTCTTTTCAACTATGTGTAGGAGTGTTAGTTTTTAAACCTCTATATCACTTAGAAGGAATCTGAAGTCAATATTGGCTACACAGTGAGTTCCAAGTCTGTCTGGGCTAGGATGGAAACATGTCTCGGAAAAAAAAAAAAAAGAAGAAGAAAACCACCTCTTTGCCTTTCTTAGTATTTTGCAAAGAACAAACAATTCATAAATGTATATAAATGTATATTATCATTGTTGATTTCTTTCTTGATAATTAAAATGACATGAGGACAATTTTTCACCTGTACTTCAACTATGAAAATTGAAGTGTAATTATACAAAAGTTAAGAACTCATACTACTATATTCAAGCAATCGTAAAATTTATTATAAATTATTTGTTTTAATATTTTTACATTTACTTGTTTAGTGCATTGTGTTGTGTGGCATGCCACAGTACTCATGTGGAGGCCAGAGGGCAATTTGTAGAAGTCATTTCTTCCCTTCCATTATATGCATGCGGGGAATCAAAATCAAGTCCAGTTTGGTGGCAACTGCTACCTTGCAAGACCTGAAATTGTTTATTTTAAAGTAAAATTTGATTCTTTTTCAAATTAATTAATTAAAATAATGTATTATGTACTTTCCACGCCTACTGCATAATTGTGTGATTACATAGAACAATTATATTAACAGTGTTCACCCAAGAATCTCTCTTGCTCTGCTGAACATAGACCACAGGTAGTTGTAGAAGTTTGTGCTTACAAATTCTTTTGAGTTGTCTATCTTCAGTAGATGAGCACCTAACTGGGAGCAATGTCTCTTACTTCCAGCCCAGGAATTTTGTGACATCTTAAATAGATAACAGCTCTTCTCGTGTATGACCCAGTTAGGGGGGCAAGGCCCAGAAAAATGTCCTGGAAAGAAAAGATTATATCGTGAAGTCCACTATGTACCAACTAATTCTTTTAGTGCATTTTTACCAATACCTAATGATGAGCTTTCATCAACATATACATAATTAACACATATCTAATTTTTTGACTCAAACTAGACAGTGGTTTTACAAAATTTATGAAAATCCCTTTGTCGATTAAAAAATTGAAATTAAGGACTGAAGAGTTGGTTCTGTGGTTAACAGTACTAACTGCTCTTCCAGACAACCTGAGTTTGATTCCTAGCACTCACATGACAGTTCACAACCATTTACAATTACAATTCCAGGAGATCTGACATAGTCTTATGGCCTCTGAGGGTACCAGGCATTCAAGAAGTACACAGACATACATGCAAGCAAAACACTCATACACATAACAAAATTTTTATCTAAAATCAATTGGGACTGTGCTTAAGTTGACAACTAAACTTATCTCTTCCATTACTTCAAATCTCGTCCCAGACTCCTTTTCTCTACTGCTCCTCCCTAAAGCAAATATATTCAAAATCAATTGCTGTACACAGCAGATCCAGTTCACCCAATTCATGTTATGGAGAGGCATAAATGTAATTATTTATATTTCGAAGACTCCTTTATGTTTCATTAGCTAAAAATGGTGGGTAGGTAAGTCCAGAGATGGAATTCTCAAGGGAAAATATTGTCGATCAATTATGATCCAATCAGAAACACAGGCAGAGTACAGAAAAAATTGCTAGAAAAATCAATTCAAAGATATGATTGAATGCATTTAACCAGAGTTTTTAGTGATGTATGAATCAGGTCCATTTCTTCTGCATATTCTTATTAGTGTTCACACTCTTGTATTCAGTGTCCCTTCCTCACTTTCCCCCTGATGTTCTTTTTCCCTTATGTCTATCTTATTATAACAATATCACTGTAAAAATATCAGTTCCCTACAGGCACTGAATACTGCCTCTTCCTTTGCATAAAATTATATTATATCCAGTAGGTTTCAACATACAGCCAGAGACAAAAACGGTTACTAATCCTTTTGGCAAGAGCTGTGGACTTGTGATATCAGGCATCTGACAGAATATGTGTTATGCTAAGGAACAGTATTTGTTCAACATGTTTGCTTTGAATAAACTGTTATTGAGTGTAAACATCTTCCCCACCCCCATTCCTCAGCACCAGGAAATGAACCTCTGGAATCCAGGATTCCATTGCTCCATTAGTTCAGGCCTTGCCTGTAGTCTGGGATGCCTTGGAGGGAGCCACCTTCTCATCTAAAGATGATTTTGTGGGCTTGTGGTTCTCCTTATTTCTTGACGGGAAGTTTTCTTTCTCCTCTGGATTTCTCCCTGAATTGAATCTCCAAAATGCTTCGTATTTCATGAACAATAATAGTAACAGAAAAAAGAAAGTCACTCTGCTGTGTTTGAAAATGAAATTCCAGCAGTAAAATTTTCTGAAAGTTCATAGGGGATATCTATGATTAAGGATAAACAATGTTACTGATATGTTGCTGATAAAAAAGAGTCTGATGGTTGATTCATGGATGATTGATCAAACATATAGAAAGAAATTAGTAACTTCTATGCAGAAGGTAGTAAGAAGGAAATGACATAGATCTAACTGGAATTATAAAAGATTTGAAATAATAATAATACTTCAATGGCAATAATACTCCTTTTTCTTTCTACTATTATTTTAAAAGGGAAACTCTTTGAGAATTACCCAGCATGTAATACATAGATTTTTTTGTACTTAATTAGCATTTGACTAACTATGAGTAATGAAAACTCTTATAAGGTATCGTACAACTGTATTGACACAGGATTCATGAGATATAGAAAACTAAAGAGATCTATTCATCCCTCACAAAATAACTGCTTAGTTCTTTTTTAAGTGTCTCAGGAAATACTTGGTAGAGTCAAGAATTTTTTAGTAAAGATCATTTGTAAGATAATTTCTATATATCACAAGGCTCGCAACATTATACACAACACTTTTAATGTAACTATGTCCTAGGGAAGATAAGAGCATATTGTGTTTCTTTCTCCAGCTCTGCAAGCTCCCCTCCATTAACTTACTCTTTAAATTCCTCATTAAAAAAATTTAAGCTATTCATGTCGAATAGTAGAGCAATACAGCAGATAGCATATGTTTTATTAAGCAGATTGTCTACATTTCTGCTCATGATACCACCACTAATTTATAACAATGGAATAGTCAGTCTTCTGGTCTCTCTAGTCCTCCATATGTGAAATAGAGATTAATAGCAGGAGCTCAATGGGAATAATATCCAGATTAATTGTCTGTGACTGTCAGTAATCTCCCTCATCCATACTCACCTAGGACACCCAGGACGGAAGCAACCACTAGTGCAACCAAGCACAGGATTCCCAAAGCCACCACAATAGGCCGCCAAGGAGGAGATGAAGCCTGGCTTCCTAAAAGGCAGAGAGATGAGAAAGAAAATAAGGAAAGTTTGTGGAGCCCTTTAATTGCTCAGCACACTGAAATTGGGACAGTTCTAAAGAAATCATCAGCCAGTATAGTCTAGTCTCTTGAGAGTCTAGTCTCCATTGTCCCCCAGCTTCGGGATATCTCTTTCTTCAATTGCTTCAGCTGTGTTATCTTCCTTTAGCATCCTGTATACTTTATACTGTTTTCATTTTAAGATCTATCTCCTGCTAATGGAACATTTTCATCTAGCATATGTTTTCCTTCACTGATATACCAGCAGCTAGTTTTTAAAAATTCAAATTAATCTCTTCCCATAAAAGTGTATCAGTTGTGGGATTTAAAACTCCGTGACCATGCCTTTCCATCTGTATAGTCCTCAATCGCAGGTTCACATGCTGCTCTGTAGATCTGGACATTATTCATTCCCTGAAATCCTACTTGTTCATTGAGTGAACAACTTTCTATAGGAAACACAGAACCAATTATTATAGGAAACACAGAACCAATTATTAAGGGTAGCTTTCCATTTTCATTTATTTTGGTGCACCATTTGGACAAATTATTTTCTCCATCCCCTTCTTTTTATTTTTTATTTCCATTTGTGAAGTTGGATCAATAACAACTTAAAATACTATTGTTGGGAGTAAGTTATGTAAAAATGCACAGAAATACCCTTTTCAGCACGCACAGAAACAGCCTTTTCAGCAATTGCGAGCACTTCATAGTTTGCACAGCACAAGCACATAAGCCTTGCCTCTTTCGTTACCCAATTTTTTCTACCATCTTCTAAGCAAATTGCACAAGAAAGGAATTGTGTAAGTGGTTATAAGAGGAAAATAATTTCATAATATGAGCACTCAAAAGCAGAAGAAAGCAAATTGTGATGTCAGAATGTGTGAGTTTCTTCTTCCTTAATGACAACAGTGAACTGATTTTGTATTACACTTACCACACCAACAGCAGTAGATAAAGTCACAGAGATGCCCAATAGGAGACCCAGAAAAAGAGTAAAGCACCCACCCTGTGAGGAGATAGATCCTTTAGCTTCCTTATATCTTGTACTCTTACCAATTTAAGATCTGTCCTCCTGCTAATGAAACATTTTCATCTAGCACAAGATTTTCATCACTGATAAAGTTTTAAAAACCACTAGTTTTTAAAAATTTGAATTAGTTTCTTCCCATAAAAGTATATCAAATTTATGATTTAAAACTCTGTGACTCCTGGCTACTCTTTGGATTTAACCAAAGATGTATTCATTTTTTATTTGCCATGCAATCCCCTACGATTTCATCCCCCACCCCTTTGGCACTATATATTGTAAAACTGTACAGGTTCATTTACAATATTTTGAGTTTCTTCTTCCCCTTACAATTTATTATGAGACAAGCAACAAGCAACTCACTAAAATTCCTTTGTCTTTGTTTATCACTCATGTTACCAGCCCCACTTCCCATTGATGGAGCCTCTGTGACTGAAGAATAGAATAGTCCTTTTACCTGTCACAAATCAAAAGCAATCTGTGGGCATTGTTGAGTAGTTTCCAGAAAAAGCAGTTTGATGATCATGCAAAGAATCTTCTGATGACTTCCATCAGTCTTAAAAACTACATATCAGTGTGTATGTGTGTGAGTGTGTGTGTGTGTGTGTGTGTATCTGTGTCTGTGTGTGTATCAGGAAGACCTTCAAATCCAGAGTCTCTCCACATCTCCACTTCTGCTGATAAGAATGAAAGTTCTATACGCAGAAAGAAAATAAATACCTTTCTCTGATCCTTCGGGTCTTTTGTGGATGCCTCGAGTCCTGAAGTCTAATTGAGTATATCCATCTTCATCTAGATTCTCTGGATGAGAGTGATATTTCATTGCTTCGTAGGGCTTCAGTAGGCAGAGCACTTGAATGTTCTTTCCAATTTAATAACTTCCAGGATGAGGATCTCTTAATCAAACCCTGAAACAGCTCTTTGCTGAGGTTTCTAGAGTTCAGCATAAGTAGTCTAGCCAGTGCCCAAAGCGGGAAATGAAAACTACGTTGGAGTAATTTCCCATTTTTCGCCTCTAGATCCTGTTTTTGAGGCTGTAAATTCTAAAGAAAGCTGATACATACTATGACTGATACATAGATTGATATCTTAAAGTGTTTAACTACACTCCCCATCGAGTTGACATGATTAATTGGTATGGCCTATGTAAACTGTTAAGAAATTTGGTTTCTTGAGTTCATCATTGGTTTGTTAGAATTCTGCTTACATGCACATATCTATGGATGTGTGCACACACCTTTGGATGTGTGCATTCCTTAAATATATATATATATATATATATATATATATATATATATATATATATATAAAATACTTAATAACTGGAGGAACCAGCAATGCTTACAAAGGGTTATCCACAAAAACTCATTGCCTAATGGAGGAAACCATAGGCAAGTATCAAAAGGACATTATTCTAGCAACAGACCACAAATGATTCTCTCTGAGGCTTGTCATGGATTAAAAATATATAGGAGAAAATATTTATTCATAATTAGTCTGTCTTTTTACTATTCAGCACATGTGCTTCCTCATTTCATCCCAGACCTCTGAGAATTCTATGTAAGCATGTGTGTTAGTTCTACTTTTCTCAAATGAGAAGAAAAAGACATGGATACTCAGACAATGGGAATTTTAAAACTAGAACAATGAACTGGATACAAAGTCTCCTCTGTCTTTAAGGTTTGCCATTGCTTTCTGTGGCACTGCCCTTGCTCTTCTGGATTCTTATAATGCAAGACATGGTTTATGATAGTTTCAGACAATCTAAGTCTGAAACCTAAGACTACATGTCTGGAATTTTTTCTCTTTCTTTCAATTCACAGGTTAATGCAAAGTGATCAGATTGGTTCAATTTGGAAATAGTTTGATCTCCATCGTTTGATTAATGCCATAGGTAAACAAGGAGGACATCAAAGTAATGAGAATAGATTAATTGAAGAATTACTATTTGCAATGGAGAAGAAGGTCTAATATGAATTGAAGTCAGAGTTCACAAAACAAAATCTGAAGCCATTTCAAGGCTGCAGGCTGCTAATGAGAAGTTGTGGGGTGAAGGCCAAAGTGAGTCTTCACGAGGGCTTGTCCATGGTACTTGTTAAACTCAGGAACTTCTCATCTTTATGACATGAGGCCGTGGCACATCTTGAAACAATGCATGCACCTCCAACTCCCAGAGACTAGGTGGGAGAGCAATTCATTTTATTCATACTGCATTCTTTGTGAAGCAGTGTGATGAGATGTAGAACATTGTACCCCAAGATAAGGACTGTTGACATCTGAGAAACAATACAAAGAGGAAGATCACCCCTGATCACAGGCCATAAGATATTCATGTGAGAGAAAGGGAGGAGGAGATCCTCTTTCAGTGTCTAGATGGAGGGAACATCCTCATTTTCCAAGAAAACACAGAAAAGAGAATGTAAGCCACTAGCCCCTGCCAAGTTCCCTTCAGTTTAATTAATTAAACTCAGAGGGTGCTGTGGAGCATTAATTTAATATGTATTATTGCTGCACAAGTTCTAATTGATCTTAATAGTAAAAATCCAGAGACTGATATTGGGATCAATGCTGAAAGATCAGAGAGACAGAGGCACAAATCACAATCAACTTTTACCTTTGCTAACTCCTCAGCTGAAAAGAGACAGACATCCTGTCTCCTATCTCCTTATATTCATCTCTCTACCCATCCACATCACTCCCTATCTGTCTGTACAGACCTCCAAACCTCCATGGTTAACTACTGGATAGCTCTGCCCTCTAATCTTCAGGCAAGCTTTATTTGTTAGAGTACAAACAAGACCACAACGGTATTACATTTGTTTATGCTGTGGATTTTTTCTTTGAAAAGGCAAAGGTGTGCTGCATTCTTTCATGTTGCATTTGTTTAACTCTGTAAAGCTGTGTTTTTTCCCCTGCTTAAAACACCTAATTGGTCTAATAAAGAGCTGAATGGTCAATAGATAGGCAGAAGAAAGGATAGGCAGGGCTTCCAGGCAAAGAGAATAAACAGGGGGAAAAATCCAGGCTTCAGAGAAGAAGAAGGAGAGTAATTAGGAGTGGGAAAAGGAGAAGAGGAGGATGCCAGAGGCCAGCCACACAACCAAACACATATTAAGGAAAAAGATAAACAGAATTTTTTTTAAAAAAAAAAAAAAGGTTAAGAAGTCCAGAGGCAAAACATGGCTAAAGAAAAATGGGATAATTTAAGTTAGAAAGTCTGAAGTCTGGCCAGAAAAAAGCCAAGCTAAGGCCAGATATTCATAAGTAAGAATAAGTCTCCATGTATTTATTTTGGAGCTGAGTGGCAGGCCTCCAAAGAGAAAAAAAAAAAAAAGCCTGTAAGTGGATGTAAATAGAGACTGCTCATTTGTTTCCCGATTGCCTAAACCTGAATAATCACACAGAAAGGATATTAATTACAATACTGTTTGCCAATAGCTTAGGCATATTCTTAGCTAGCTCTTACATCTTAAATTAACCCATTTCTATTAATCTATGTATTACCCCGAAGCTGTGGCCTACCAATCAGGTTCCAGAATCTCTCTCATTTGACAGCTACATAGCATCTCCTTGACTCTGCCTACTGTCTCTCTCTGTGTGTCTCTATCTCTGTTCTGATTTCCCACCTGGCTTTAATCTGCTAAGTCATTGTCTTAAACAGCTTTATTCATCAATCAATAAAAGCAACACATATGCAATAAGACAGACATCCCACATCAGGTGGGTCGTACATGAGAAAAAGGCATGAAAATAGGAGAGGGTTGTTGAGAAAATGGGCTCCTGTGGGGGATAGTGGGGTAATATCTTATGAGGCATGAAAATAACTACATTTTATCATACAAATACATGAAAGTGTCAAACAACAAAAAAATTAAAAACTGCCTCTAAGAATTAAGAATCTTACTCGTGTTAGTCACAGTAATATTTCCTAAGAAATTAAGAATTTTTTATTCATCATAGGTTTTCAATGAATACATGTTGATTAAATGTATAAACATATTTATACATTTATATGTCTATAAATATCAAAGAAAAGATACTTTAAAATACTAGTAACAGTTACTATTCTTCAGTTGATAATTCTCTTTTTCCTAATTTTTAGGTTGGCATACAAAACAGTGGACTTCATGAAGTCTCCATCCATAGGTGTCTGTTGTCGGGGTTTCTGTCCTGCCCAGTTCCTGCAATCATTAAGTCCCAAAGAAATCACACAGATGTCTACATTAACTATAAAATGATTGGCCCATTATCTCAGGCTCTTATTAACTCTTACAACTTATATTAGCCCATTTTTCTTATCTATGTTAGCTATGTGGCTCAGTACCTTATTCAGCGGGGCAGTCACATCTTGCTTCTTCTGTGGTTGGGTCCGGACTCTAGAGCAATGGGGGCTTCCTTCTTCCCAGAATTCTCCTGTTCTCACTGACACACCTCTACTTTCTGCCCAGCTACTGGCGAATCAGCGTTTATTTAAAATATAATTGATAGAAAACAGACCATGGTCCTACACCAGGTGTCATTGTACTTTAGTCTCCGTTATTACTTTTCCTACTTCACTCTGTAGAATCTACCACTAACTGGGGCTTGGTGTCACATGCTTGTAACCTAAGCACCTGAGAGACTGAGGTGAGAGGATTGTAATTTCAAGGCCAGCCTGGGCTACACATTGAGAGACACTTCTAAAAAAAAAAATCATCTATCAATACCAGATATAAAAATAAATGATAATGCTTCAAAAGCAATAACATATAATCTCCTCTGTTGTCACTTAAACTCCATAGTCTGGTCCAGTTGATGGCACTGTATGGTTCAGTCTATAACCCTGAAATGGAAGAGCATTCTGTCTTTCCATGGATTCTTAGTTCAATGTCCAGCACAGCGTCTGGAGCCAGACAGGAAAGCAATCATCCTGCTCGTAGAAGTCATCATGCTGAACTCCCAACAATTCCATCTTCTGTCCCATTTTACAGCTCGGTGTCTCTAAACTGCCTGGGGAAAGAAGGTGGGATTGCAGAAAGAAGAGCCAATGCTAGAAAGCATTTTATTTATATAATTTTTGTTTTAATTTTGTCTTCTTAGTGGTAATATGTATGAAATTCATTTAATTTTAACTTTTGTCTTACATTTAATGAAAGTCATAACTGTGTCACGGTTTTTGAACATGGTGTGATGTTTGGGTATCCATGGACAATGTGGAGAGGGTTTTTCCCGCATATTTATTTTTGTGATTTGGCTGACCTGTACTGTGTCCTTCATCCTTCTGCTCACGGTGCACCCCTCCAACCTACTGCAATCACTTTTAATATATCATTGGCAGTCCATTGATCAGGCAGATGCTTGGTTTTCACTTCCTGTGCTCTTAATTTCATAGTTAAGCAGGATGTAATGCCAGATAGCCCTCAGGAAAGTCTCTAGACTGTCCTTCCTGAGTCAACAGCAGCACTCCGGGCGCCGTTTGCCCTTTATTTCAAATACAGTTTTATTTAAAAGAAAGTAACTGAGTTTAAAATATTGGCAGAGATTCACTTGGTGTTCTTAGAGACAGGAGCAGGCATCGAATCAGAGTGTAAATAAATCCCTGGCGCAGCCTCTAAATTCAGGATCCAGAGACACAGCAGGTGGTGGTGTCCTTTCTCCTGCACCTGCTGTGGAGCAACTGAGTGCCTTTCAAGTGTTTCAGTTTCTGTGCTGGATTCCTCCTGCGAAAATGTCTATCAAGATCCTTGTATGCTGAAAAAAAGAGAAAAAACTGATGAACGAAAGTAGATTGCCTATGAAGTGTGGTCTAAGCCAGGCTGGAAGGAACAAACCAAAATGATTAGC